TTAGCTGCTGCATCCTGCTGACTCCTGGAAGGAGAAAAAATGAAATAAAAATAAAAACACTGTCTATGACAAAATAAATCTTTTACAATCCCTGAAAAATGGTCCTAATTTTTGTTCTGTGCATACAAAATGTCCATCTTGCTTTTTCAGTATATGAACAAGAGAACTTTTAATTTAAAGACAATGGGAGAGATTTCAGTATACTTTAACTACCATACCATCTGAGGAAACAATTGTAGGAATCCAAAAACTGAAGCTTAATGATGCACCCAATCAGAAAGGAACAAAACTCTTTTTCCATTTACATACCTCTTAAAGAGCTTTGCATGAACAACATAAAAATCCACTCACTTGTACATAATGTAGCCGAAGAAGAGGAGGGATTGAATGACGATGAAGATCACAAAGTGTGTGGAAGAGAGACAGGTGGGTAAAGGAGGAAGTTCAGGACATTTCACCTTCTCTGCAGGATTCTAAGGATCGTGACCGAAAAAGGGGTTATTGGCATTTTTTTCCCCAGTTTTTGAAATTAATACATTTTTAAAATTAGAACATAGACAATTTAAACCAAGGCAGAAACCACATAGAGAAGTGAAGGGGGATTGGTAAATGACTAGATTCTATAACGTAATGTATGATATATTAAGTAATATTAAAATAAATAAAAAAATAAACTAAAAAAACTTGTTACAATATAAGTAACAGTGTTATTTTAGTATAATATAATGTAATATGACATATGTTACATATTATATCATATCAAAATATATAAATAAAAAATTGCATTTTTAATAAATTAAACTAAAACACTTAACATAAGTACAATACAATACAAGTAGCAGTGTTATTTTAGTATCACTGAGATACAGTACTATTATAAATGTTATTTATATTTTGAATAAGTCTATTTTGATACTTCTGTTTTAATTTTAAAGTTTCAGTAATTTTGTTGTGCATTTTTGCCATTTTTATTATTATTTGATAATATAGGTTTATATCGTTTTCATAATTTTTTTACAATTCAGTTTTAGTTATTTTAGTACATCAAGTTAAAAATAAAATGAGAAAGGTTGGCTTGGCAACAGCTGAAATAAAACAAGTACAATTTTTTGTATTTTTTACTTGTGAAAGTTTATTTTATTTAAAATATCCAAAATTTTTTTGGTTTTAGTTTACTATGATAACCCTGACAGGCATAGAAATAAAATGTATCATGTCATCAAAAATGAAAACAAGATGGTCTAACTACTTGATTATGGCCCCCGTCCACCCGGAGACGCGTTTAGCTGTATACGCATACATTTTGTATCGTATAGGCGTTTCGTCCAGACGGATCCGGCGTTTTGGGAGAGTGAAACCGGGTCCCAGAGTTGATAAATCTGAAAACGCCACCCTTGCGTTTTCGTGTGGACAGCGAATCCGTATATATTTTCTGAAACGATGACGTCATCAGCCCACGTCTCGTCCCTGGTCAGACACGGCTATGTCACATAACAGCAACAAAAACATGAACAAACACTGAACGATTGTCTTTTTATTAACTAACATTAACACAGATTAATAAATGTATTGTTCCATGTTCGTTTGTATACCGCGCGCAAGGTTTATGCGCATAGTCCAAGTCTTCTTCTCCGTTTTTAGTGTATCTCTGTGGCAGAATTACAGCGCCACATACTGGTCTGGCATGTATACTACATCGTTTTGTGACGGTTTTGTGGTTTCGTGTGGATGCAGATATTTCTCGAGACGAGGTGAAAAAAAAGATCGGATAGGGAAAGCGCTGGCTTCGTGTGGACATAGGCTAACAGTCAAGCAAATTACCCAAGACAACAACCATTTCTGTTCCAAAATTCCTGAAACTGAACTTGTTCGTAGCTTGAGGGTTTAACAGAGGATCCATGAGAGAGACAAGAGAGAAGTAGAAACGGATAAAGTCACAAACATCCACCCCAATACATGTGAACGCCTCTCACTCACTCTAAGGCAACAACTAGCCTACACACAAAAAAAGTGTTATCAAAGGAGACTAGATGTTAGGTTCCAAATGGGATCTAACAGCATAAGACATGTGAGAAACCAGTGTAGTCAGCCCTACACATAGCCTTAAGTAACTTCAGCAAAAGAGGGAGGTGAAAAGAAATCAAAGAGAACTGGTAAAAGGAAGGATTAGGATGAAAAATGAAGACGAGGGAGGCTCTAGTGTTTATATCAAATACATTGAACAGTGTTGAAAGACCATCCAGATAATCTCAGCAATGATCAAAGACCCTCAAAAGATGTTTTTCTTAATACTGAACTTAACCCTAACCTACTGCCAATCACAACCCAGACTCAACGGAAAAACATGCCACTACCTATTGTTTTGCATAACTCCAAAAATGTACAGTTTCCAGGTGAAATGAACACTATGGGCAGTACTTTATGAAAGCAAATTTCTGGAACAAAATATTATATTAGCACAAGCACACACAATAATGCAGTTTGCTCCGAAGTCCAAACAATACCATCGCCACTGTTGACATCCGCCATATTGCATGACAACATGCTCTAGCCTGCAAGTATCTTATACAGAAATTACCCAAAGAAAAAGCAAGCATGCTATAGATTAAACACGCCATATGAATAAAGCATCCAGACACCACACCCGTATGTGCTTAATCACAAAACCAGGCATTAATACTTGTCCTTCCTAACGGCTTCCACTCTTCTGGAAAGGTGTTCACATACCTTGGAATGAAACTACAGGGAATCACAAGCATCAATGAGGTCAGGTACTGATGATAGGGTCAAGCTCAGAGTCAGTGTTCCAATTCATCCCAAAAAGATTCTTCTTTTTTTTTGTCCATACAATGAAAGTCAATGTGGTCCAGTGTTGTTTTGACTTTCACAGCATGGTGAAATACAGTTTCTTTTGTGTTCTACAGAAGAAAGAAAGTTATACAAAGACATTAGTGTGAGTAAATGATGACAGAAATCGAATTTTTGGGTGAACTATCCCTTTAAGATTTGTCATCGCTGGAATTAAGAGGCCTAGATGAACCTGTTAAGGCATGTCCACATACTTGTAATGTATGTTTCAGCTATAATTTCCCAAACAACATATATATGGTATATTAAAGACACCTAGATGTACTCCAAGCTAAATTAATGTAGTCTTATGTAACATTAGTTTGAAGAATGAGACACACATGCAAACTTCCATGCAGGCTCACATACTATGTCATCATTGTGCAAGTTTTATTTGTGGTGTCAACATTGACACCTCTTAAAGAAAGATAGAAACAGAAAGAGAAAGAACAACAGAGAGTGACCGTCAATCGGTGACGACAACTTCCATCACTGCTTTCTATTGTGCGATCAAATGGGAGTTTGTCCTTGTCAGTCCAAGTATTTACACACACCCACACACACAAACGCCCCTCAACAGAACTATTGTCAGAGAGAAACAGAAGAGAAGCAAAGAAGTGAGGGGGTGAAGTACTGCGAGTGTGTCAGATATAAAGGGATATACTGAAATAGATTGATCCATGCAGCCTTTCCTAAAATATCCTCAATACTCCAGTGCCACCTTACCCTGATCTATAACAGAGAACAGAGCCTTGCCAAGTACTCTCACTGCCAACTGGAAATTCAGTGTTAACACCACAGGAATAAATTTGATTTTAAAATATTTTTAAAAATTGCCATTTTAAATTATAATACACACCCACACACACAAACGCCCCTGAACAGAACTATTGTCAGAGAGAAACAGAAGAGAAGCAAAGAAGTGAGGGGGTGAAGTACCGCGAGTGTGTCAGATATAAAGGGATATACTGAAATAGATTGATCCATGCAGCCTTTCCTAAAATATCCTCAATACTCCAGTGCCACCTTACCCTGATCTATAACAGAGAACAGAGCCTTGCCAAGTACTCTCACTGCCAACTGGAAATTCAGTGTTAACACCACAGGAATAAATTTGATTTTAAAATATTTTTAAAAATTGCCATTTTAAATTATAATAATATTCTACAATATTATTTTTACTGTATTTTTGATTAAAAAAATTATGAATGCATTTCTGGTGAACATAAGACTTTCAAAAACACTGTAGTGTATAACAAAGTATAGGCCTACAGTAAAAAAAATAAAAGAAATAAATCAAAACCAAGCAAACTTTCACCATGTGCACTGTAAAAAAAAAATATTAAAGATGATTGAATCAACCTGACTATTAGATACGCCACCCAAGTATTTTTATAGGTTAGATTTGGCAGATTTTGAATTTGGGGTGGGACTATCCATTTGTCAAACCAATTGCAGACAAAGAGAACAGGAAACTGATTTAAAAATAATACAAATAATAATAGCCTAATTTTCCCAATTCCATTTGGTAATGTAAAAACAATTCCAGCACGAATTCCAGTTAAGAATGTGAGCTATGTAGTCCCTTGCTTAGAAATAACAAATGATATAACAGGTTCTTTACAATGTGTGGTTCATGACAATGAACCACACGACACACCAACACGTCTCTAAAATGCACATATCCATGTACAATTTTGAAATCAGTCAAATATTTTTTTTTCTCCAGTTGTTTCCATCAGCACAATTGTCTCATCTTCCCTTACGATGCACCAGCCATGTTGTTCCTGGGAACTTAAAGGAAGTAAGAATTACAGGAGTATCTTATTATCAGATACTCACAGTGGATGTAGTGACCCCCCTCTCTGCCGTGACTCTGACCGTGAAGAGGCAACGCTGCCGAATGCCACATGACTGCGAGCACCACTCGACCAAACCTCACCAGGCACAGCAGAGCACCTGTCCGAACAAAGACTCACTCCGCTGATGGAACAGATGGGATATGAGCGAAATAGGACGGTTGTAGGAAGAGGATCCGCAGGGAGGAGTCTGCTGGTTTATGGGATTACTTGGATTATCAACGACTGAATCCAGCAGGAAACGTTTACTGCCACAAAGATCAGCCTCTCCAAGCTTTGACAAAGCTCCCTCTGCACAGGCCGCGGTCTGTCCGGACAGAGGCTCTGAGTGTCATTAAATCTATCAGCCCAGACGAGCCACCTGTTGCACGGCCAGGGATGAAGTGCGCTTGAGTGAGTGTGAGGTTCAACATAAAAAAGCAATTTATTTCGATTCAGATTTTAAGATTACTGTAAATTTACAGTACATCTGATTATCAAGAACATTCTATAATTGATCATAATATCACAGTAAGATGGGCACATCAGTGCTTCTATTAGAGCAGTGCAGTGACAATGACAGCTCTCTCTCACACATGCACACACACTATAAGCACATTTTACAGCCAAGCCTGGCAGCCTCCTCTCACACACCTGCTTGTGTGTTCATTATCTAATGCACTTCTAACTTCAGACACAGCTTGTTTTTGTGCAATGCTGCATAATACTATCATTAGCACTGAAGAGGTTAAAGGCAAATAACCAAAAAAGAAAAATGTTGAAAAATAAAAAAAGTTGATATTATTAGATATCGCATACACTACTGTTCAAATGTGTGGAGATTTTTTAGAAAGAAATTAATACTTTTATTCAGCAAGGATGCTTTAAGTTGATCAACAGTGACGGTAAAACAAATAAATGTTGTTATTTTGAACTTTTTATTCATCAAAGAATTCTGAAAAAAAAAAAATGTGTCACAGTTTCCACCAAAATATTACAGTTTTCAACATTTGGTAATAATAAGAAATGTTTCTAGAGCAGCAAATTAGATTAGATTAGATTAGATTAGATTCAACTTTATTGTCATTGCACATGTAAGGTACAAGGCAACGAAATGCAGTTAGCATCTAACCAGAAGTGCAATAAGCAGTAAGTACAGGATATACAGTGTCTACAATATGTTACAAATGTACAATAAATATACAGATAAGGCAGTACTATTGACATAATTTACAGATTTTTAAATACGATCAGCATGATATACAGATAGGTATACTATGAACATACTATACATATGGATTATGTAATAAGTGTATTAATATGCATAATAAATAAGCATATTAGAATGATTTCTACAGGATCATGTCACACTTGGCATAATGGCTGTTGAAAATTCAGCTTTGCCACTACAGGAATAAATTATTATTTTAAAATATGTTAAAATAGAAAGTTAATTTAAATTTTACCAATATTTCAACATATTACTGTTTTTACTCTATTTTTGAACAAATAAATGCAGCCTTGATGAACTTAACAGACTTCTTTAAAAAAAACAATAATGAATAATAAATAGTGAAGATAAATAACTTTTTATTTACTGACTGAGATATCAATGTGGGTCAACTCATCTCAGTGTCAAGGGGAGTTTGAGCCAAATTAATTGTGCAGAAAAGATTAAAAAGAAGCTTTGAGATATTTCAGTATAGTGATGCATTAAAAGCATATACAATATATCAATCCTGATGCCATTACAGTTTCATTGAAAGACAGCCAAGCAGTAGAGAGAGCTGACTTCATGACAGAATGCCTTCAGGGTGAATCTAAAAAAGCCTCTTTAATATGTCATCCTATAAAAGCAATGCCTCACATGGATCAGTCAGAATGAAACGAGAGTTGCGATCACACAGAAGATTGACACAATTGGAGCTGCCTGAAGAGATATTAAGAGCCTCATCACCAAAACAACTGTATTAGGTTTTCTATCTTCATGCATTTCTTTTGCTAACAAAAACATCACTGATATCTCTCTTATAGTAACTTATCCTTTTGATAAACCTAACCATGTGTCCTTTAAAGGTCCCATATTGTCAAAACTGATATTGCCTGGCTTTTTTCATGATAACTGAGGTCTAGGGGCTATTTAACTACCACATAAGTTTCAAAACACATATTTCATATAAGTCCACAGTAAAATGCACACAACCTGCATAAAGTAGCTGTGATTTTTCACGAACTGTTGTGACTTCCGTAAAAAGTTGACGTCAGAACTACACAGTCACCGCCTTCAGTCACCACCCCGAGCACCGCCCACCGTCCCACTCTCCTTTTGCCAAACCCCCAGACAACATCGCGTCCATGCCATTGCTGAGCAACAACAACACCGAAACATGTCGAAACGGTTAACTTTAACCATGAAACCAGATCGGCCGACCTGTAACGTTACACTCTCACTCAAAGGATGGATGATCTGACAGGATTGTTAATATGAGGTGGATCACATCTAACGTGTATAGTAAAGACAAACTTACCGTGTCTATCTAGTCATGATGAAGATGTATATACATTTCAATTTCAGCAGGCAACTATTTTTACAGCTACATTATTGTTCCAGCCACAATTAATTGCAACAATGTATATACAATTACAAATGATTATATATAAATCGTCAGTTTGTTGTTTTACACACATCCACACATACATGATTTCATACACGACATAGTCGTGAGATGCAAGAAACACATATGGCAAGAAATCTGTAGACGCACCCATAACAACAAAAGACAATACTTTATTGAACCTTTTCTGATAAGAAGTGTGCGCTGCAAACGCGAGCATTTTTGACGATCGTTTCTGTCCAGTCCACTCGTTTTATCGCGTTTAACCACAGCTGTCGTCGTATTTTTGTCTGGGAGCGGCAGCAGATATGCGATCAAATTTCTAATTTGAGGCTGTATTACGTCGATTCTGGCACCCAACATCACAACAAGATGATATTTTAAGCTCCTTATGCGCTGGTTTGAATGGGCCGTCTCCAGTTTCCCCTTTGTTTTGCTGCCTCAAGCTAGCGCTGTGACGTTGGCTGATCCTAGTTACCTGTGGTTGGCCTGGCCGTGCGTCACTCAGAAAACAACAGGCCAATCAGAAGAGAGGCTCATGAATATTAATTAGACAGGCCAAAATCAACCTGTTCTCAGCATAGCTCCTGAGAGAGGAGCTGTAAAAATATATTGAGATGGTTTTTGGTACTTATACCGCAAATATATATTCTTAAGGACATCAAAACCTAAAATAAAACCCCAGAAAGGTGTAAAATATGTGACCTTTAAGAAAATCTGTCAATAAAGGTTAAAAAATTATTTATTAAACGTTATTATCATCTTTCATCTATAATAAGCCTTCAGCCTCAGTATGTCTACATTACCGTTCAAAGGTCTACTCTAGGAGATCAGAAGTGACAGTAAAGTCTTTGTTACAAAAGATTTCTATATCAAATAAATGTTCTGAAGACTAGAGTAAGGGTTGCTGCAAATTCAGCTTTGCCATCACAGGAATAAATTATACCTTAAAATATTCAAAAAAAAAGGTTTGTTGCTTGTTTGCTGCATATTTGATCACATAAATGCAGTCTTGATAACCACAACAACATTTTTTTTTTTAAATCTTACCGACTCCTAAATTCTAAATGTTAGTGTATATAACAGCTGACTTTGAGGGTCAAAGACGTGACTCTTAGCCCGTGTTGACAAGCATGTGAACACAGTTCAACCCTGCTACTGTGATGTAAGGGTCTACATCTAACATTTCAAAGCAGGATGTCCTCTGAGAAGCAGTCAGGGCACAAACGCGTCCATAGATCAAAATAGATTTCCACCCTTGCCCCAGTCTACTTTACCCCAGACTTAAATTATCCCAGAATGACTATAAATCCAGAACACGGAGCTAACAGAAGCTAAGGGCCAAAACAGCATCTCTTTTAGTTCATTTATCTACAGCAGCTATAGTAGCGGCACCACAGGATTATTACTGTGTAAGAATTGTAATCTCAATAATCATTTCATTTTAATGGAATAAATACATACACCCCAAAAGGGTGATGAGGACCCTGATAAAAAGTGTACTGTGCATGTAATTAAAAAGGAATTAAATGTGTATAGCTGTTCACTACAAAATAAAAAAATTTGATTAACTGTGATTAATCTAACCTTGTTAACCTGGTTAATGTTCAAAGTTCAAAACTCTTAGTGTGTCTGTCTGGTTCTAAAAGCAACCCAGGCATCATGGTGGCACATGAATAAATCATATGTTTACAGTATAAGCATATATTTATTAACTGTTAGTTCCCATTTTTATTGCATCATGCATTAATACAGCTTTATATTATTCACAGCTTTAACACTACTTATTAATACAACATAATATTTTTGTGTGTGTTTGCACTACAAAACTACTGACCAGGAGTGAAAACACATTGTATTGGGTAGGCCTACATATTGTTCATCGACAATACGTGATACATCTGATATTACCTCTAAAGCATATATGTACAGTAGGCTGAATTCTTGCTCTGCAGGATAATCCAGCTTAAGCTAGTAGATGTGGAACATGGAAGATAGTTACAAGCTGGTCATTAGCTGGTGTAAACTGGTAAACCATGTTGGACCAGCTACCAATTGGTCATATTAGCTTAAGATGGTCAAACTGTTTTTGGATAGCTGGTCAACCAGCTTGTAAGCAAATATCTTAAACTGGATTTCCCAAAGGGTATAATGCAACAATGTGCTGCTTATCTATTGTATTCCAGTTAATCAAAATAATTAAATTCATTACAACTTGACTTCAGAATGTCATGTTAGTTCGATTAACAGCATCAAGCAATTTAAATAGGTGTGACAAATAGGCAACTCTTTATATGAGTCTCATGACTTACACTCAACACTGTAACACTACAACTTGCTGGAGTTGTCTTTGACTTTGCTTAGAATAACGTCATTCGCACTCACTCCAGAAACAAGTTGCAAGCGTTCAAATACAAAGCTTGCGTTGAAATACAAGCCTACACATACTCATTCCTATGTGAAGTGTACATACTATACCCGGCTGGAAACCGTCTCAAAAGCAATGAATAACAAATCCGACAGCCGTGCTTTGAGGGCGATCGATTACATAAACGCAATTAAAGTGCCAACCATGCCTGTAAACCGCTTGATCACCTGACTGATGTCAAAGCACGCGGACTGATAGGACTATAATCTGTCTGAAGTTCATCAGCGAAGTTGTTTTAACGCTTTCGCGGCATGCACATTTAAACTACATGGACAACTGTGCAAATATGACACAGAAGAGCAGCAACGGGAAATGAAGAAAGACGGCGACTTACGGAGATGTAAATATGTGTCGTGAGTATCCATTCCGAGTCAGTTTACTGTCGCGGCTCTTGTCCTGGAGGCGCGCGGCACCCCTCTAGCTTCCTCTCGCTTCCTCTCGCTAGCCCAAGTGAACTACACTCTGCAGCGCTGCTGCTGGCTCGGGGCCCCGCTCAGGGGGAGGCAGGAGGAGGGGTTTCACCAACGACAACAATCAGATAAGACACAGAACAGGCAGATGACTTCAGCACGTGTTTTTACAGAATAACATTCAAGCTATATAACAATGGTAATAACATATATTATAGTGTTCTTTATAACTTGACCTGCAACAAAAAACAATCTGGATTATATTTACAACTACATTTGACAAATGCTCTTGAACAAAATGTCTTGCATTGCATTTTTTATGCATTTTAACTGAACCAAAGACCTTGGTTTCAGTGGCTACTGAACCATTCAACCATCAAAATTAACATTATCAAGATGGACACAAAAATGTCAGATAAAATGTTATTTAATATGACTTAATCAACTTGACTAAGTAGATACATTAAAAAAAGTTAAAAGAATCAGGGTTGTGTTTCCCAAAAGTGTTGTAAGACTTGGTTTTAAATGGCTATACTTTTACCATTCAGGCAGCCATCAGTAGCAACAGTACCAAGCTGGACACTGGAAAATGGCTTGGCAGGAACCTAACAATGTGTGGAAAATGTGTAAAAATATTATTTAATATGACTGAATTGACTTAACTAAATTTAGCTACACCAACATAAGTCATTTCTAAGAATCAGGGCTGCGTTTCCCAAAACAGTTGTAATGCTTGTGGGAAATGCAGCTTAAATCAAGAAGAAATTCCTTCTTGAGGTAACAACTGAACAGTTTTATTTTTCACAGTGTGTGCCAAAAGGAATAGCATTGAGTCACGCAATGGGTAGAATTTAAGCAATTTACCTACCCAACATAAGAAAACATTATTATACAAGGTGGAAAATTCATATGAATTTGTGCAATGTGATTTGTATCAAAAAGTATGATTTTTTTAAAGTATGCATGACAGTCCAAACTTAAGCATCAGTGGGGTGTGAGCAGACGGTATGAAAGTGTATGAATGTGACTGCACAAATTAGTCACCAGTTTGCCAAAATGTAAAAAGTTACAAATTGTCATGAGAGCATGTTGCAGTTTACGTAACTGTGTAATATGGAATTGGCAAAATATTGTGTTTATTTTAAGCTGAGTATATTTAAGTATATTTGTTTGTATTCATCATATTAACTGTTAATGCAAAACTGTATTATGTCAAGATTAAGAACTAAAGTAGAAAACAAACAGGAATATAATGATATTTGTGATTGAGATCTGTCTGTCCGCCTGTTTATACTCAGTGTGGTGGCTCAAAGACTCCTCGCAATTCCCCCCAGACTGTTTCTCAGAGTGTGGGTCATACAAGGGTGAGCTCTCACTACCTCCGAAGGTTATTCAGAAGTCACCAGCATTCACCAGTCTTGAACTAGTGTGGGGTTAGTGCTCAAGATGACCAGTGACTTCACAAGGCCCCTCCCTGTAGGTTTGAGGATAAGCCCACCCCATCCCACAACCCCCACATACTCTGTCCCCTCATTGTAAATGACCTATTAAAGAACACAACACCATGGTAAACAAGATGAATGGCTTTTTTTCCAACCCATCTCACACCAATCAAGGCTTTCTGTTTGAACCCCCTTTCTTAAGTCTATTAGATCATGTTAATTTATTAAAGTCAAACCGAAGAATTAAAATGGTCATTTGTCACTGCTCTCTTTGTGTGGGCTTAATGGTGGCACATGGTGTAAGGCCTGCAGTTTGTTATCCTCTCCTTTTTGCTCTTAATGTTCTTTTCTTTTAAGCCATTTTTGGGTTAAACACGAAAAGAAATCAAGTTGCACTCAGTTTCTTGTGGCATAACTGTCTGCTAATAATACATTTTATACATTTTTACTCACTTTGCTCAATCATTTCGGTGTTATTGACGGTAAACCCAAGTACACCAAAAATTTTATTTGTGTCATTTACTCATCCTCATGTTGTTCCAAACCTATATGACTTTCTTTTTTATTGAACACAAAAGAAGATATTCTAAAGAATGTTGGTAACCAAGGAGTTTAAGTTTCCAATTTAATACTGTATTTTTTTCATCCATATAATGGAAGTCAATGGGAACAGAAACTGTTTGCTTACCAACATTCTTCAAAATATCTTCTTTTATGTTTGACAGAAGAAAATAAGTCATACAGGTTTTTAAAATGACATTGAGTAAATGAGATTTCATTTTTGGTGGACTATCCCTTTCATTTAATTTGTTGTTTTATTTAACCTCTTTTAACCTACACCATGTTTCTTTTGCCACCTTATCTCTAAGATAATCAGCCA